AGGTCTATGCTTGTTTCATTCACCACCCCCCTGCCCTTTTGGGGGGGAACGAACCCAGCTCGCGTCATCACGGCTCCATCAGGGCTCAAGAGTGGTCCTACCAGGTCCGACCTAGATCAGTGGATGCAGGTCACCGTGACTTGGGGGATTGGGGGACAGCCCACTCAAGATGAAGAATCGGAAAAGGGATACACTCTGACTGTACTCACTCACATGGAAGTGGAAAATGGCTGTGAAGTCTGTTTTCGGAAAAGGGTGGCTGTTCCATTTCCATTTCCATGTGTGAGAACGTCCCGTGTAGTGCCGTGCAGTGCCCCTTCTTCGAAGAAAACGGGCGTCCTTAGTCGTCGCTGGTTCGAACCACCGAGGCGGATCATGCAGTTCCCTCGCCTGGGGCTGACCTTCTTTGTCAAGGAGCAGACGTGGGACTCGCGACACGATAGTTTGACATGGTTTTTCGAATGTACATGGCGATGGGCAGAATGACGTTCCAGCTGATTGGAATGACTGCTTTTGGTCCAGCCTGACCTTTTGTGCAAGGTCAAGTCAACCCTTCCCGACCTTGATCCCTCGCCTTTTCGGAACGCTGGAGGTTCCTTCAGCCATTTTTCACCACCTGACTTCGCTTCCCAAGACCAGCTGCCACCCAGCTGCCACCCAGCTGCCTAGACTCCAAGGGACTCCGGATTTCCGCGCCTGATCGAACCATTCTGAAGCACGAGACACTCATCAGTCGCGGCGCGCGCGCTTCGCAGGAGGAGGAGGGTGGACGGGTGCGGCGTTTGGTGTCCGCGGACTTCGGCAATCTCACAGTGCCCTTGGCCCCGGTGCCTGAGCAGGCGGAGCTTGTTGCCAGAGAGGGGGAGACGGTCGACCGTGGATCTCTCTTTCTGGCCATGGGCCACGGGATTTTGCCCCATCAACAGTGATCAAAGCATAATGACCCCCCAAACCACCCTAATGTAGGCATATATGGCAGTCCCATGGAGTGTCTGGGTAATCATGTTCGACTGATTATCAGAGAATATCGTGGAACGACATCCCAACAAATCTCAGCTCTCTTACAGAAGATCGCAATCTGTACAGTCCGATCACGTACAGTCCGAGTTTTTCCATGATCATGTCGTTTGTATCTGTGATTGGTGGCTCACATCCCGCCATGAACTGCAGCGATCGATAGGGATCCAGGGCCAGGAGCTGTTTCCTTTCGGAAACATCCTTACCGGTCCATATATAACATGATGCAAGTGGCGATGTGGATGTGCGCTCGGATGCAAAAGTAACTTTCGCAAAGTGACTGGAATTTCTGCACCCAAAACGTTTCCCGGAGTCGATTCTGAACCGGTCCATGGGTGAAAAATGGTGTATCAGGAAGAACCCATGGCAGGGTCGACTGGTCTCCCTACTTTCAATACACCTGAACCCTCCCAAAGGACCCTAGAAAATGGGACATGACAGTATACTTGTATAGTATAATCTTAATTACGTACCCTTTTTCCGAGGTACAAGCTGAGACTCCAGGCACACCCGTCTCTGTGTTTTCCCCTTTTTTATGGTGCCTGCTTCTTCACTGTCACGAAGGCTCCCGATGGGGTGGACAAGTTTCTCCGGAAAACGAGATGTGATTCCACAGCTTGGCCTTGGGTTCCATTACATATCCCTAGGGATCCAGTCACACCTTCTTAGAAGGTACGACTGGACCCTCCTGGCACCTATACATAGCGGTGTCGCCTTGCTCACCGTACCTGAGAAGGTACGACAGGATCCCTATAGGGATATATCACCCAGTGCATCCCAGTTACTATATAAGGAACCAGGGCCCTTCGGAACCGGTCGAAGTGGTTTTAGTCGAACTGGAACCATTGGGACTCCCAGCGACATCGTGGGAACTGCCTGGATGCCCTGGGTAACGGTTAGGGCCGGTTAGGGGGGTTGCCTTCCTCGTGTCTTACTTCGGGAGGTTCAACCAAGGGATCCTGCCCACGAGATCCGCGCAGGTGGCGAAGTTGCTCGCGGGCATTCCACATGCGGTGATCTTATGTGAGCCATGGATGTTCATGGGACCTGGCCCCGGCCGACCTACCACACAGATCGATTCTCCTACACTGTAGCACTTCCATGTTAGCGAGTCGAACAGGTATATTGCGATAGCTAAGAGCCGTTCGACTTTGGCGTTTTCCAACGGGAAATGGTACTTTTGGGGTGGTAGAATCTCTCCCAAAATCACGCCGTCGATCGCACCAAAGATCACCAACAGTTGCCACTGTCGTTTAGCCAGACACCTGTTTCGGTCAGTGAACAACTTGGATTCGTCTGGCTTCTCACGATGAGAAAGGCGAAGGCCTGGGGTTGGGGCACATGAGCTCCAGCTTCCAGATCGTTGATAGCTCCAGCACGCCCGGACCCGACTGTTCAGCTCTTTCCCCCCATATACCATCATATACCTGCACCCTCCAACAGGTCACCACCTGCGACTTTTAAGTCAGCAAAAGCCTCCAGAGGAGACCTGTTGGAGGGTGCTGGTATATGGCCTGTTGACTTCTGGTGCGTTGAGGCCCTGGCCTTGGGTTGGGGATCTGTGAGATGTTTCACTTCCCAAAGCAAGACAGCTGAATTCTTCAGAAGCTTCCGGAGATTCAGCTTGGAATCAAAGCACCAACTCCCAATCATCACCACCTTGTACTATTAAGAAAGTACTAGTAGCTATTATAGCTATTATCAAGACCTTGCATCTTCATCGGATATCATCGGAGTACATCGGCCTTTTCGGGAATAAGTGTCATTCCTCGCAAGCGCCAAGGACGAGATGCAGTCATTGCACGTGCTGGTCCCGCAATACTTGCCTCTCCGACCCACGATCAAAGGCAGCCGCAGCTGTGTGAACAAACTGAAACATGTTTGTTCACACCAGAAAACAACAAACACACATTGCAGTGTAGAAACCAAACACTCCATGCGTGGAAGATTTGCCTACATTGGTCCTCTTTGGGGGTTCAATGTAGGCAAACATTCTCAGAATTCTATATGGAGGAGCGTCGTTCTCTTGGGTCACTGACTGTGCTTTCTTTTTCGCCGGTTTTCTCCCGCATTTGAAGAGTTCACCCTGCACCGAAGGATTCGACCGGCGCAACTGGTCCTCGTCGGTTCGTTTCGACCGGCCTTACACCAGCGGTGACGGGTACTGGCCGCTCCTGGACCTGAACCTTTGGCCTCACCCGAATCCGAACTGGTCAGGGGTCTGGACCCAAACCAATCCCGGTTTTCAGGGACTGGTCGGCCTGTGAACGGAGAGTCTGGGACCATCAACGAAACCTGATCGGAGCAAGAGTCATCCCCCATCGTTCGAAGGGAGACCTGCCGATGGAAGGTCGTCCATTCACCACTGAGATTGTCGGGCGTCCTCAGTCCTTGCTGCGGTGGGTGAGGAGAGTGGCCTCACAGCGCAAGCGTTTGGTCACCAGGGGCCCCACAGGTCCCTTTGATCTGCTTTTCCATCTTTTCCCCGGCAGAAAACGTGTTTTTGTTGCACGTGAAAGACCCATATTTTTCCTGGATTTGAGGGCCACTGGCATGCCATGTGTTGCGGATCATGGCGATTTTCATATGTGTCTCGAACTGGGTCCCCTCAGTCAGAACCCTTGGCTTTTCGGGTGAGAACGCGCTACACCAGGTCAGCCGGTCTCGGTACAAAGTGAAGCGTATCCAGGCACTCAAGAAGTGGAATCCCCGTTGTTTCGGCACGGAATCCACGGAAAGGGGCACGGCGCCCCCCAAACAAAGGTATCCCTGGAGTCCAGTCGATTGTTAAAACGGTCTGACGAACGGTGATCCCGAGTCAAGGAACTTCACACTTGGGTGGTGCCCCGAAAACAGTGGAACTGGACTTCTAGGGATCTCATGATCTGTCCGAACTGACCTGTAGCGGTCAGTAAACAATGAGTATACATTTGACAAGGCCTGCAACCAGGCCCCATCATCATCCACTGTTACAGGTAATAGGATAGACCCAATAAAGATATGATTCATATACAAAGGGGGTAACACTGGACTGACCACCTTTTGGTTCGTTAATGTGGGAATGCAGTACATGTCCGCTCCTCTAGTGACAGAATGAGACAGATGGAACACAAAACACGCAGAGCATGCAGAGGCACTCCCTGTTTGGGTGTCCTGTCTGGTGACCTTTTTCAGCAGTGTAGGGTGGTCCATTGGTAACCCCGAACGGAAGCAGCTGGTGCATACTCTTTGAAGCATGAGCTGCCCTTGAACCAATACTTATCCCACATGAAGAGATCTTAGTTCTCCTAATGAGAGACCCCGCCGGCTCCCCAAAGGGATCACCACTTGCCCCAAGGGTTTCGCATCGCTACCGAACGGATTCACAGGAAATCGGAAGTGAAGATCCCTCGCCAAGTCCTTCAGTCCTTCTGCAGATATACGTCTGGATTTTTGGAGACCTGTTCACTTCCCGCAAAATAAACTGCTTGAGATCATATGCCATGGGGCCATGGACAAAATTTAATTAGCGTGGATATTCGGAGCTTGAAGGAATGATTCCTTCCAAGTCAACAACATATATGAAGAACTATCCAAGAAAACTATTGAAGCATGTTGAACCCACCTGGCTCTAGTCATCTCTAGTCCATTTCTCCACTTAATTTAATGCTACTTCAGCCCTCCAAACTGTCGATTTTCACGATATTTCTGCCACTCTCCCTCCGCCAGTCCCTCCGCCGCCGTCCCGAAGGTCTTCGAACGCTTGGGCAAGTGGGGAAGGAATTGGTCCTCCAAGACCAAGGCTCAAACGTCCGGTGGTCCTCGGTCACGTTTTTCGTGCCGAACGGCCGATCCAATGCGGGAAATCCCGGGGCGGAGGTCGCAGAGGTGGCAGAGGTTCGATGGCAACCCCAAGATGTCCTTTGCGTATGGGGGGTCATACAAAAGCACCGACATTGGGGTCTGTGCCATCTACTCTCAATCCACTATATGTTGAACAAATCGTGGATGTTGAGTGCATTAGAAGCAAGATCAGTTGGAGAAGACGAGTCATCTATAGGATCCGTTTCTGCCCATGGGAGAGTTTTCACAGATGGGTACACTCCCCAAACTGTTGGGTGTTTGGGTCTTTGGATCTGGACCTTGGACTTCGTCGGAAGGGTCTGAAGGGCGGACTGGTCTAGGACTGAAGTCATTCACACCTGTCATCCTAGGCGTCCAGGTGGGCGGTGATTCTCTCTATCCACGGGCCAGGATCTCTCATTCCTAAAGACTCCATCTAGTATTTGGACAAAAACCTTCATCTTGGGGTGTTTGACCTGGGGTTCATAGTAGGTAAGTGGTATGGATTTTTTGGGATGCTTTCAGGCTTGGCGTTGCATGCGCTTGGCTTTTTTTCGCCACACACCACCCGTCAGTCTTTCACCGGCGGTCCTGCTTGGAAACTCCAAGAAACCGAAGCAGGAGGACCCAGTGAACCACTGAATCATATCGAATCGGATCTATATGAAAATAACACGAATGTTGGACTTCTGCAAAAGGAGGGGAGAGAAGCAATTGACGGATTTGTTCGAATGTGGTTTTGGTCTGTTTCGGTCACAGGCAGAGGCACATGCCAACCATCCAATCGAAGTAGATCGGTCCAGAGTCCGCACTCCAACCTGCCTCCCCTTCCTTCCTCCCTCCCTTTCTCCCTCCCTCCGAGTTTCCTTGGTCCCCATATATCAGGACGTTGCAGGAAGAAGAAGAAGAAGAAGAAGAACCAAGAAGAACCAAGAAGAACACGCGTACCTCCGGTGCCACGTCCCGTTTTCGCAACCGCGACCGCGGAACCTTTTTTCAGGTGACGTACTTTAAGTACGAGGTGCACGTGTCCAAAGGCTTCCTGATTGCTCCATCCTTTGCTTCTGCCTTGTGCCTGGGAGATCCGAATTGGGGAGAACCGGGCGTTTGGGGCGGGGAATCAGGGCGAATCCCTTCGTCTAAGCGAATCCCTTCGCAGTGACCTTCCTCTCAAATCGCGCTTTACCATGCGCTGAGCATGAAGCCCTGTGCTTTAAGAGATCTTAAGAGTCTCCCAGTTGGTTTGGAACCAGTCCCTCAGAGAGCTCCAATCGCTGGTGGAAGTTCATGATGTTCATTTGTGGCAAGCTCCTGAGGTCAAACGACTTCAAATGACCTAAGATTCGAAGACCTGGGTCATTCCAGGCCGTCAAGACAGTTTGACGCAAGAAGTCTGGGCACCTATGCCTCTCCTGGGTAGGGCTGTGCTCTCTTTTGATTGGAGTTTAGGAAGTTGATCCCTTCCTGCATCCATGAAGCGATGCCCAAATCGACCGAAAAAGCATCGTCCGCGTCCGTTCGCTGTGATGAGTAGCTCCTGCCAGTGAGGTATTTGTTGCTCCTGCGCTTTTTGGCCCGGGACTACGAAGGCGATGACACTGCTGGACCAATCAGCACAGCGGTTTGTATTGTTAATTGGTAAAGAAACATCGCAAGGATAGCAATTTTGTGTTGTCAACTTGTTGCACAGAACCTGTTACACACTTCAGGATGGAATCGGATTGGTCGAGAGGGGCCCCGGGTGTTTGAATTCGCACCAGGGGCGTCTTATGCATGCCATGAGGACAGCGGCAGCGGCTCGTTTTCCGGTCCCGAGCGCCAGGATCGAGGGACGGAAAACATGAGTGATCTGAATCCCATGTGGTGATGGGCTGGTGATTGGACCGTAAAATGACATAGATCAAGACATATAGGATATTCTGGTGTGTTAAAGGAAAAAACAACACCCGAACTCCGTGGTTGGTGGTACAGGATCATTTTCAATGTAACTCTTCAGACTCTGTCTCATGGATGGTCTCAAAATGGGCCACTGTCCAGACGAATCCAGTCTGTGTTCAACAAAAATACTCCTCAAAGCCGAAAAGAAACAACAAAGACAAAGCACTCAAAGGCTTATGGTGATCTGCTCGTGTTGTTTCGCCCCAAAACCGACGTCCAGGCGTGTGCTCGCTGGTGCATGCGGTCGGCACGGACGCGGAGCTGAATGAGGAGGAGGCCCAGATCCTCAAGGCGAGCTCGAGCTCGAGCGTCGGACCGAAGCACAGCGGGCTTCGCTTCAGTGCGGCACATGAAAGCAGTGGGTGCTAGGTGAAAGAGACCCAACACTTGAGGGGGTCATGGTTGGGGCTGAGTGAAGTGGAGTGTTTAGATGTATTAAGGTGTGGCTGTTCACTCGTCGGTATGCAATGGTTTCTCATGCATCTTGCTTTCTTGGGAGACGAGATGCCGCAGAAGAAGAACACCTCGGGGTGAGAGTGGCAGTTTCTGAAAGTTGTTTCTCTTAGGGTGAAGCGCTACAGGCATTTGCAATAATTGATCATCTGCAAAACAAACACTACCAGGATCATCCGTTCTGGGTGTCCAATAGACAAACACGGACCCTACTTACAGGTCTCCATTGGGCACCCGTTGGAAGTGCTAGGTACAATCAATGTATATTTTGATACCGGGATCATCCGTTCTGGGCGTCCAAGGAGGTCCAGTTCAACAACAACAACAACAACAACAACAACAACAACAACCCTAATAGCCTTCGGTTGGACCATTCAAAGAGTTCAGCTGACCTGGTTTTGTGGTGTACAACTCTTAGTACAACAACGGTGGTTCGGGATTCAGGCTATCAAATCAATGGTGCGCCAGGAAACCTATATTCTAGACTCTTGATTGATTTGAAAAAACAGACATGGATTGTAAAAGAAAACATACATCCTTCATTTGGATTGTAAAGAACAAATTCATCCCCCAAATTTGGATTGTAAAACCTAGCCTCTTCAAGCTTGTGGGGGTGTGACATCTAAGCCACTGGGGTCTTGAACTCTCCCAGGTTTTGGGCCTCGTCGACGACGCCCATCCGGATGCCCTGGCCTGTCGCTGCTTGGTGACCTTGGCCGTGCTCCGTAGCGGCGCGCCCATGCCGTGGGACTACCGCCAGGAATTCGCGTGGTACGTGTCACTTGGACCGAATGAGGGTTAGAACGAAGAGAGAGTTTCTTCTGGGCACAGAAGAAGAGTGAGAAAGAGAGAGAGAGAGAGAGAAAGAAAGAGAAAGAGAGTGGTGCTGTTTGGGATTGTGCGGTTGTTTTCTTTGTGTAGACGTACCTGCTGAATCATTCCTGAACTGGTTACTTCAGGATGTTCCTGCTGTTGTTTGTTTTCATCGTGGTTCAGATATAAGAGTTGAAAGGGTTCGAACTGCCCAAACGGACTCTGGTGGACCAGCGAAAAGTAAATAGAACAGACTACTAAGGAGGTCAACCGATCAGCAAGAACCAAAGCTGTGGGTGCTATGACTTACCATATTCCACCATGCGAACCGGGTCCTGGGGTCTGGAGCCAGTATTCACAGATATTCACAGCCTTGATTGGAGGTGTAGATGCATGCAAAACGGTGTGTAAGCTTCAATTTGAGCTGCCCTTCTGACATCTTTTGGTGCCATCATGGTGGAATGGGTTCAGGCAGTCCATTCTGAGAAAAATGTGCCTTGCTTCCACCGGTCTGAGATTTGTTTTCAGCGGACCCAGAGCCTTCAAGCCGACAGGAAGACCTATCCAGTCAGTGGATAACATGGGTTTCCCGACTAACATCCAAAAGGTGGAATATAGCTCAAAACCTTCCCCACCAGTCCTCATGGATTCCGTTGACATCCCGAACATAGAGGAATCTGTATTATAATCTGCTCATGTTCGTTGGAAAACAACCAGGGTGCCCGGGCTTGGACCCACGGCCGGATATTTGGGTTCCCTTTTGAATTCGAAAGAGCTCTGGAACTAGGCTAGACCACCGGGGGGGTGGACCACATAGGACAGGCTCGGATGCAAGGACCGCTGCTTGTGGCAGTTTCTTGGGGGGAAGATGGTTTGTTTTGTCCAAGGTTCCGGAAGTTTCCCGGACCGGCACGTGACATCCTTTTGATTGGTGTTTTTCGGTGCAGTGACCAAGGCATGGCAGCCGCACATACCGGTACCAGACAGGCACTGACCCCACTGCTGGACCTGGTGAGTCGACCCACATGGGTTTCTCCAGCAGTTCCTGCCTGGTGAGTCTACCTGCGCCGAACAGGTCCAAGATGTCGCACATCTCCGCTCGAAGTCGCATGAGCCGCCCGGATGGAGGAACGTGGGAGTCGCACGGATGGAAGAGGACCCAGCTGCACTCAAGCACCGATTGAGGGGCCTTTTTCACATCAACACCGAGCATCAACAGAAACCTGGGAGCGCCTGGGAGGTTGGTCTACCGGGGGATTGGGGGCTCCGGGTGATTCTCAGCCATATGCCAACCTTGGGATCCTTATTTTGGGCATGATATGAACCTGCCAACCTTGGCGAAACGCTGCTAGGGTGATGAACAGGCATGCATATATGGGACGCACAGGCCAGGAAGATCCAAGGAGATATACCTGGACCATCCAATGGGTCACTTGGGTCACCTGGCTAGCGAAGAAGTTTTGGTTCGTGCCTCCTAAGGAGAGGTCTGCGTCTGAGAGAAGTTCCTTTCGTTTTGGCCCGGTAGCTCCATCCCCTAGGATCCACTGCCTTCTCAGGAGGTACGACTGGGCTCGACAATGGCGCCGACATAAATAGTCTCCGTCCTCACCGTACCTGAGAAGGTACTTGGATCATCTTGGATTCCAAGGGATCCAGAAGGTGTGGTTTTGGGATGAACTTGACCGTCCCGCAGGACGTGTCGGAAGTCTGCAGCGCTACGAAACTGGTGGATTTGATGTTAAGAAGGAGGAGCCCACAAGGGTCCCTTTGATTGGGTTTCAGATTGTGTTGGTGGACTATGCTACTATGATCCACTATGGCTATTCTATTGGTGGTTGACTGGCGGTATAGGTTCAGCTGAGACCTTGATTGGTTCCGCTGAAATTCAACCTGTTCACCATGAAGTTCCGTTTTGAGAAAAGGGTCGTCTTTAAAAAAAGGGCGGAGCCGCAAAAGCTGCATTGGGTGGCCTAGCGGCGCAAGTGAATGGGGGTCAGAAACCAGCGGACCCCAACGACCCACACCCCTCCGACACATCGCAGAATTCATGTCCAGGTCTTTTCGATTGAGGATCCATCATCCAGGGGGGTCCATGAAGCATCCAGTGAACCATCCCGCTCGGGTTTTTTGGGTCGTTCAGACACTTGGCACTTCAGGTCTGGATCAGGAGTCGGAGCTTCTCGAGGAGTGTGAGCGGCTCACCTCCAAGTTCCGGGTCACCGAGGCGCCTGGAAAGTCGCGCTTCCGCGACAGGTGTCGCGCGCCAAGGGGCGTGGGAGGGCAGGCGTGGGAAGCTCGGCCAGGTGTGTTTGGATATGTTTGGATCATTGTAGATCATGTGCTTGACGAAAACATGTGGTGTTTTTCCTTGTAAGGACATCGGGCCATGGTGCGCAAACCATTGGAAGTTGTTGCCGGAAGGTTCCGTGGTCTTCTCATTCTCAGAGACATCAGATATACAATGATATACTATTAGGGGCTTCAAGTACCTCCTCAGAAGCTCTTTACACCATTGTATACCCTCCTGGCACCTCCACATCCTCAGAAGCTACTCGGAGCCTTAAGGGTCTCAGATCTACTTCACAAAAGGTGGGTCCTTCGAACTTGCTTCCTGTTGCTTCAGCCCACGGAGCAGGACGTGGGGGGACGTCCCAGGGAGCGGGTGCGCCCATCAAAGGCGACATGAGCCCACGAAATCGGGTTTTGGGGAGCCAGAGCCTGCCCTGAGGGTGGTTCCGCCCTGAAGTGGTTTGATGGGTTCCACTTCCACGTTGCCTGGTGGATCTATTCTCGTCCACTTCCGCCCGAACAACGTGGAACCCATCTTGGTGAAACAAGCACCTGACGGGCCCATCTTGGCTACTCCAGACCTCCAACTCCTAACCAGCCCCCGGAATCAGCGGCACTGGCTGATGGAGCGAAGCGAAGAACACCAACCAGGCACAGACGAAGAAACTCAAGGGCCGCGAGAAGAATATCATCTTGGAGATGCTCTTAGACACTTGGTTTTAGGGAAATTCTGCAGTGCTGGGACATGTGTTGTTTTTGCTTTTACATATGTTCACTTTTCACTTGGTGTTAGACACTTGCTGGTGTCTTTGTTGGTCTGTGTGGGACTTGGGATTTATGGGAGACCATGCACCAATCATTTAAACATCCTGTGGATGTTTCAAGAGAAGACCGGGCAATGGCCCTTGGGGTCCACTTCTATGAGTCTTGCAGGGTAACCACGCAGCTCTAGAGGTGGTTGAGAACTGAGAACCTCCTTTTTCTAAACATCTGGTCTTAAGTGCTGCCTCAGAAGAACGGGCTCCCCTGTTTTTGCTTAAGGTGCTTTCTATTTTTCGTGGGTGAAGCATGTTCGGCAAAATGATATGTTGATTTTGCATGTTTTTCAATTGTGTTTTCCAATTCCTTAAGCAACTCCCAGATCCTCGTGTGACTGTGAGTGACTGAAAGCCTTTTGGTCGTTTCTCATGAATTGGGGTGATTCAGGGTTGATCCTGGATGCACCGGTCTGGGAGACGTGCTTCAATACATAGATATAGATCACCGAGGTGCTTCAATCCCCAATGGGGAATCTGATTGAATCAAGAGGGTGTTTTTGATTCCCAGACACGACTAATGGGACTGCCATAGGACTGCCGATCAGGCCAGGGGTGGTTGAAGTCGGGGGTCAATGTACATGCATATATATATGGCAGTCCCATTAGTCGTGTTTGGGGTCTAGACATGTTGCCCATGATCAGCCCACAGTCGGACAGCAGATTCGGACAACAGCCTGCATCCGACTGAGATGTAGGCCTGCATCCGACACAAGCGTCATCATCAACTGTGCCCCGGATAGTTTTCAAGGAGTCTTGTTGCCCTGGCGCATTTGTTGCCCGGGTTTTGCTTAAAGGGAATTTGTTCTTTTCCCGAACTGGGTAAATCCATGTAAATCCCCACACCTGGGAAATTTACTTTTTTCCAGGCTTCCTGGGCAAATCCAGGTTGCTGATTGAATATTGATCATTCTTGATCCACCGTCAGACTGCCCCCTTGTTTCTTCAGGACCCAGAGCGAGCGAAAGCGGCAGCGGCCAGTGTGCTGGCGAAAAGAGACGGGGCCGTCGAGCAAGAACTTGGAGAGAGCGGCGAACAGAGCCATTGACCATGTCGACAAAGAGGGTGTGTTTGATTCCCAGACACCACGACCTGTTTGGGACGGCCGGACTGACCGCACCTGTTCGGGTGCTGCCAGGAAGGTCGGAGATGCAGTCCGGACTGGCAGTCCCAGACGGGTCGTGTCTGTCTTTCGACGTTCGAGGTCACCGTGTGTCCTAAATCGCCCTGTTCGCACGAGCCGGGTCGGGCCATCCCCACTCGGACAGATGGAACGATCAAGCACCCTAAAAAATGGGTGGTGCTGGTATGGTGGAATTATAATGGTTTAAAGTCTGTTTATAATGGTTATATACATCAACCATATAACAATTCGAAGGACATGTTTATATATGGTTTGATTCATGGTTTAACGTGTTTTTTCCTTTCGGCGTCTACTGTTTGGGTCTTCTTCGAAGACATTCGATCCAATTCACATTCGTTCTGAGAAGGAGATTTGGATACTTCGAAACGTCTGGGATGGATTTGCTGACGGCGACGAGTCGTAGGGAATCAGGGAAGAAGTTTCGCCTTCGCTCGGTTCCTCTCTACCTGCACACTCCAACAGGTCACCACCTGCGACTTTTAAGTCAGCAAAAGCCTCCATTTCGGAGACCTGTTGGAGGGTGCTGGTAGTGATTCTGGATCCAGCCACCCTCAGCCACCCTGCTTTCGACGCACCAGTCAGTTGGTCTTTTCGAACACCGGGTTTTTTCCGTCTCGGATCTGAGCAGTTTCCGATCGTTCGAGAGGATGGGAGGATGGGGGGGGTCGGGCACCAGGGCCGCCCTTGGATGGTCGCCTCAGTCAATGAATGGGCTTAAGGATGTTTAAGGGAACATCTATAGAAACCATGGTGTTCACCCCCCAAAACCATGGTGGATTGCTGCGTGCAGCTGGTGATTGCTGCGAGACTTTTGCAAATATCTTCTAGGCACGGACATTTTAGACATGTCTGGCCAGGAATGCGAGGCCCCATGGGTTTCCTGCAGATGTTCCCTTAAATCAATTCAGCTCCCGCAGGCTTGGAAGCGAGCAAAGAGACACAGAACCTGGGAACCTGCTAACATATATATTGGATCATGGTATCCCTCCACACGTTCTGTGGTTTGAAACATGTGTGTTTTCCCAGGTGTACTAAACACAGGGTGTACTAAAAATATGCGAATCCTCCAAAACTCCTTCATTGTGGTGCTGAATTGTTTGTTTGAACTGACGGGGAGTGTAGTAGATCTGTATGGCACATCTGGTGCAGTGCGCAGCAGAGGAGACAAGTCTGATAGGGGTAACCATGTTCACACGAATTGTTTTCAAGCACTATGCTTGCCTGGTTATTGCTTGAGGTGAGCCACATTTTCTTGAACATTTCAATCACTATGGAGTTCCCTTAAATGAACTTTCTACCTTCAGCTGTGGTGGAAGCAGCTCCCGAGGTGAAATGCAGAAGCTCCAGGCGGGCCTCGCCATCCGCGCGAAGCTCGACCGGGCGACGAATGCTTTCGACCGGGCCCGGGGGGGAGGGTGAGTCAGTCCAATAATCCGCGCAGTGGTGCTGTGCTGTTGGTCTCTGATGGGTTTTCTGGATCTAGCCGAACACAGGATGACAGACGAACAGGATGACTGCGGGGGGAGGGGCGGATTTCAGCTGCCCAGCTGAGGGCCAGTTTTCCCATGGTTTTACTGATGTATACTTCATGGATATTCTCCACCCAGCAACTGCCAGGAATCATCCATGAATATTGATCATGATACTTTGTTGAGCCCCCATAGCAACCCTTGACTCTTACTGGGGGTGATATCCAAACGTAACAACAGTACTGTTGGACGGACCCAGAAATCACGACGCCCGATCATGGCATCCTTCGCAGTCACATATTTCAGGAAACAAGTGAATCTAATTCGTTGATTGTATTGGCACCTAGGCGCATACTGTTTTGCGTCTTCACTTTACATGAGGATTGCATGATCTTTATGATGCATGTCAGGATCGTTGCGAAGAGGACCCTCACTGATGAAGCATTAGGTGAGATCTCGGCAAGGCTTATGTTATCCTATAGTTTTGCCTAAGGTGAATCGTTATCCCTATGGATGAATCCCCTGGCATGGGGAATAGCACTTCTTTTTTTTTACGGCTTCCTGGACAGCGAATCCATGTTCTCATGTATGCTTTTGGCATCGCCAAGAATTGCTTGTGTCCAATATTCCATCCTAAATTCAGAGATGCGTGGAAATCAAAACCTTTAGTAAGTGGGCAAGAGTATTTGCAGCCCATTGAAAACTACTTCTGGGCGGCCGGAGATGGAAGATTCCTGTACTGAGGTGCTTGACAGCGCTGAATCGTTGAATCCCATGAACTGGCCACTGCCCATTTTAGTCTCCGAAATGGAGGTGCTGCGGGTGTTGGTCTAAGACTTTGCTGGGTGAAACCTGGCCCCCAGACCCCGAGGCTCCTTGCGGAGACTATCCACTCGGTCAACCAACGGGTTTCCCCGGTGTGGGACCCGTTGGTTGACGGTTGTCATTTGCTTTGGTCAAGCAGACAACTCGACCCTTTGACAACCCCTGGAAACGAGAATTCATCACCATGCGAGCGGCACGGTTCCAGGGGTTCAACTCATCCACTGATGTAATTTGGCACTGGGTTCAACTGCCAGGACTTGAAGAATGACATTTTCAGTGCCATGCGAGCGGAGGGTTTGAGCTGCAAGGAGGCGCGGGCGTTGATGCGAGCTCGGTGGAGCAGGGTTTTGCTGCGGAGCGGAGAGAAACAAGCGAAGTCGGTTGGATGGTCAAGCAGACTGGTGCGAGCCGGCATGAGTCGGCTTTGGACCCAGACGCTCCGTTGCTCGACTGGTCCTCAACATCGGATTGGTTCGACCCCAGACCCCTCCATAGGATCCATAAGTGTCTGGGGGTGAAGACAATTAGGATCGAACCTTGGGATCTTCATGGCATTTTCTCCGCGTTCGCATTTTCTTCGCATCTTTTGGCTCAGGAAAAGGAACCTTTGATCTTTCCGAGGTGGTTTCAACATGTTTCAACCGGAGATGGACGTGGAAGCTGTGGCACTGGACGGAGTGGATGCTATGCCTGTGTGTATCATGCAAGCTCCATGTGCAATGCCCTGGGACTCAAGATCGACCGTTATCAGCTTGGAGGAGAGTCTTTTCTCCACACAACTGTGGTCTTCAGCACAGGCGGTAGACGCGGTCGTAGCAAACTCCCCGCGTGCGGAGCATGTGTGTCAGTGCGCGGAGGCTTGCGTCCTTTTCCATTCTTACTATGGATGTGGGACACCTGGTATTTGGTTGATCGGGTCATGTTGATTTCCCCTGTGGGTGTGAGTTTTCCCCCGAAAACAGGGCATCTTTTACTGGGAGGGCCAAGGGATTGGATCGTTTTTCCCCCGTCAGCACCGTCTCAAGGAAGGGCAAAGATTGCGGATTCTGCCACCAGACTCACGCAGACATGGACTTTGCTCGCCCCCGAAAGGCCAGACGTCGGAAGATGCGTGATCAGCTGAGCCAATATCTCAGGAACCGGACGCGGAAGCCTGAGGACCCCGAGGTGCATGCCTACTTGCAAGAGGAAGCTCGGCGCCGGCCTTATGCCCGGTTTGTGATCCAGGCCATTTTGGACACACTGAGGCAGTGGCCACGGCACAGTTCGGACAGTCATCCTCACCGCATGTTTTTTTGGCTTTAGACCTATGAAGGATCGTTCGGCCAATAATTAGGTGCGAATCGTCGAATCGTCTTGAAGCTCCTACCCGGGGGTCCAGCTATACACACTGGGGAACCCGCTTTCTGACTAAGTCGGTGCGAAGGATAGGAATTCCAGTTTCATCCTATACTGTTTCCAACGAATCAAATTGGCTGATAGATCATAGATCAACATAGATCAACTGCTCAATGTCGATTGGTATTTTTAGCCATTGAGCCTGCATAATATATACAATGAGCAGAGAAGTAAAGGTCAACTGTGCAGAGACAGCAGCGACTTGGACATGACACTTCTCACAGCGTCAAAAGTGCGCTCGGTTTTTCGTCTGATGCACGCAGATCCACGCACAGCGTGGCATGGCCGGTGTGTCGTTCCACTTTCGGATCCGTGGCATGGCCAAATGCCAGAAATTGGTGGGACTCATGCCCACATGCATGGTTTGGTTTCGAGATGTGTTTTTCTATTTTTTTCACGAGCTATTTAGGACTAAAATATTGAATGTTTGGCGTTCCAAACCAGACCAACCAAGCCTGACACGATGAACCGATGGAGTCGCTTGGTAAGATGGCTCCCCCAAGCAACTTCTTTCGTGGTGCTTTCGTGAAGGCTGGACACTTTCGCATGGCCAATTAGGCCAATTGAACTCTTTAGTCTTTGTCAGAAACACCGGCTGCCCTACTGGCCGGCTGCCCTACAGGGCCCTACAGGTCATGTCCGGACCTGAAGACCACGACGAACGCGGGAACCGTGACGACAGTCTACCAGCGTTGATAGTATACCGTCGGAGTCTGGGTCGGATCTGGAGGGCGAAGTGGACTTCTTTCTTCCCACAAGTCTCTTAGATACATGTCTTTCAGCCTTCAGCACGAGTGAGAGACACTCGAAGTCGAACACCCGAGTCCTCTCCATGCTGTTTTTGCCCGGCATGTAGTCTGGGCTGAGACTGTGGGTCTTCACTGCAAGGTGGCATGCGAAGCGCGGCGACAGGCCGCGGAATCTTCTACATTGCGTGGGAGCAAATTTCCTACGCGGCAAGTGTTTCAAGAGCGATTCGCAACGGGAAAAAGGCCACGTGCGGCCGGCGGCCGGCGCGGGCGTGGCGCGTGCGCCAATCAGAGTCAGCGAACGGGCATTCACCCAAAAAGGCTTAAGCATGTTTCGTTGCAAACCGAACACATGGAAGACACGGTTCAGTGGCCTCAAAACGGCCAAGCCGCCGCCCTGGCGCCGCCTTAGAAGCCGATTCCCAAGTGGAGGGCTTTTGGAGGATCCAGGATCCGGTGTCCTTTTGGTTGGGTTGTATCTAACTCCCAGTATCCCCCCAGGCCTTCGCCCCTCCATGTGTAGCATTGGAACCTACACGGGTTCCCCAGGTAGAGATGCAACGCTTGGTGTCGAAGATTCAGCAGCGAGAGCATGAGTGGCTTGCTGGGTGAGTTTGCGTCATGTGCTCGTCCAGGCGATGCGTCCAGGCCATGGTGTCGAATTCAGGGGTGTGGAGGAGGTTTCCTTTGGTCTGTTTTCCAGTGGAACGAATGAAACTAAAATGGAACAACATGGACTCAAAAAGTGAAGAGCACGTGTAAACATCTGCAAGCACAGGAACTACTAGTAGTCGGACACGGCTCAGTGGCTAAGTCATTGATGTCATTGATCTCAGTACAGGGGCTGCATCATGCTGCAGAGCGGTTTTGTTCTGAACGCTGTGAGCCACGAAAGCAGTGTCGTTCGTGTCAGCATGGGGACAACATGGGTCCATCCAGAAAACGCGGCTCTTGGAGCCGCAGTGGTCCATCCAGTTCCACCTATGTCCACCAATCTTGCTGAGCAAATCTTAGCAAAACAACATCGGGTTCCCAGCTTGCTGGATGTTCCAGCGACCAAGTTCTAAAGATGGACATGATTGCGTGGCTCAAACAGGGAGACCTCCCAGGCATTTTTTCCCCCTGGAAGAAGGATGAAGAAGGGGACTTCTTGGGAAATTCCTAGGAGGTATTGGTGAAGCCTCACTTGAAATCCAACAAGGCGGACCGTTCGGTGATTTTGTTGAATCTTTGTTGGATCAGAGGAGCTCATATACCAGCTTCTTCAAAGTGACCTTTTGAAGGTTCCCAAGTGACCCTTAGGAGGCTTAAGTGACCTCAAACCAGGTTCTTAAAAGGTCACTTTGAAGAACCAGGTATGGATATATCAGCTTTCTTTGTATCCGATAGATGGTGAACCTTTCGCCACCCAGTCAGTGGATAACCTTCAGTCTACCACAATGCCTTTAACCATTGTTGTCCCCCAATATGAACAGATGCAAAAGGTATGAAAAGGTATGTCATCTTCATTTTCCAAGGGCGGCCTGGGTGACGGACCCGTCGCACGGAGAAACGACCGAGGTTACCAGATTGGATGGCACATGGCATCTCCAACCGACAGGACCGCCAGCCCGAGCGTCGAAGAAGACGGCAGCGTCGGGACCCATCTCCATACTTCGAGCAATTCGAGTGCGTGTGTCTTTTTCCCAGAAGGTCGGTAGACGGAGAACTGAACGCGATGGAAGCTGCTTGCGGCCTCGTGAGGCCGGGATCGATGACGTCATTCGATTTCGGGTGTGAGAGAGACTGATGAGATCTGATGAGGCAGTGTGCCCTTTTATACGTTTTATAGCTGGGGTGGGGGGCGTAAGCTGACGGGATTTCGACCTCGAAGTGGACTTGGTCAGAAAGGGATCTTTCCAGCCGTGCTTGTTTTCTCCCAATGCGGGAAGATGAAAGGTGGGAGAATGGTGACCCAACCAGTTCGTCATTTTGGAGATCAACCAGCTCTATCACCAAGCATTCCCACCAGTGTGAAACATGGCATCTTTCGTACCTCCCGGTTCGGGTGCTTCTCATCGGGTGGTTCTCCCCATGCCGTGTTCGCGTTGGTGGCGCCAGGAGCTTCTCAAAGCTCGTGGGTACAAAGTCAATCAAAAGGCGACGACCGTGGGACCGTGGTTTCTTTCGTTGAGGAGGGTGGTCGGTCGGTCATTCGCACCGTGACTGAGGCGAACATGTTGCGTTGGCTTATTGAGTGTAGATGGACCTTCATGTCGGGGTGCGAAGAAAGGAGATCCACAAGTAGTGTATGGTCTGTATGGAGAGCTCTTTGAAGGTGCTGGTATGTGCTGGTAGTTTTTGTTGCGTTTTGTTGGGAAACTTGTGGCTTGATGTTTCTTGGCTTTCTTGCGAAAGAAGAAAGAGGGTCATGCCAGCCTCTACCCCTTTCCTGCTTTTCATCTTTGCCTGCTATGGTCAAGATATTATGTCACAGTGTTTTGAACCACAGCCAGGATGACAAAAAAAACAAGAAGGACAAAAAGGACAAGAAGGATGCGAAGGCCAGCATCGAGTCCAGACAGCCAAATGCCAAGTGCAATGCCAAGTGCAACAAGTACACTAAGTAGATGCGCCAACTGGTAATCAGACTTCTGTGGAAACAACAACTCTCTAGAGAAAAACACTGTGATATTTTTGACTTGTTTGCTACTCAATTTGCTAATCTGTTCTACTTAGACCTTTGCAGGTTCAGCTCCTCCAGGATTTGGTTTGTTGTCAGTTGAACCTGCGTGCGCACGGGGGAGGATTCTCCGAAAGCCCGTCCTTCAGAGTATTTCATGGCACCGACCAGAGAAGATGCCATTTCAGCGAGAAACAAACACACCAAAGCATACCAATGGAGATCGAGCTTGCTTGACCTTCACCGGGAAGTGGTCTTGGAAGACCTTCACCGGTCGTGTTGTTTTTGCTTCCGACCACGTGGATCGACGTGTCAAAGGGAATTTCGACGCTTATTGATGATGTGAGAATCCATGATTTCTGCAGATCCGTCTGTCTAAAGATCCGCCACCGAGCGAGGTTCAGTTCGCATCCGCCACCACACCACCAGCGCCCTTTTTTTTCCGCGGAACCCGCGCTGGTTCTGCGGTGTGTTTGGCAGTTCCTAAGCGTTGGATCGATATGGAGCCCTGCTCCACTGTCTCCATGTATGACATACCTGGATCTTCCAACTCTAACACGTCCACTTTGTTTTCCAGACACCAGCCCAGCAAGGGTTACATGGTATACCGAGGCTTCGTCAAAAAGCCAGGCACATCAAGGTCCAGGCCTCGCCTAGGCGTCCAGGCCTCTCCGCGACTCGCTCATCGATCGACCCCCCCTCCGTGACCTGGATCGATCGATCAGCACTCGTGTCGAATGGTCCTCCCGTGGGGTTGCCGCACGCTGCAGGACAAGAAGGAAGAGACGGAAGAAGTGACTTTGAAGCTACCCAAACCCAAGGATGACGCACGGGCCAAGTGGCGCCTCTCACTGAAACCGCCAGTGTCTTTTTTGGATCTAATTCTTTCGCGCGCCGAAGATCGTTTGGGTGTGGCTCTTGGGGGAAGCGTGAACTCGCTGTTTGCAGTCCACCGGGTGGGAGTTGATGACTGAGCAGGTTGAGCAAGGCCAGACTCAAAGGGCTCTCAAAGGGCTACCATTCGACATTCCTGACTAGCTCGAGTTGGGAGTGTTTGCACCCATTCTATGTGTGAAGATGTGAAACGTTCTGCGAAGCAACGTACTCAACACGCAAAAGAGGGCGTGTGACACACTCAGTACTTGTGACGTCAACATCCCCGGAAAGAAGATCCCTTACCCGGGCGAGCGGCTGAAGGGATCCAACGGGATCCAACAGGGCTTTCAATGAAAGCATTCTCCCAAGCAATCACAACCCTGTTGGGGAATGCTTTCAATGAATCCCCAAGGATCTAACAGCCTTCTTGCAATTGCATGCAATTGTATGCAATTGCATTCTGCTTGGCGCATTCTTCCAGCCGACTGGAGCATTTCGTGGGGGCCACAACAGGTCCATGTCGACGATGTCGACTAGACAGATGGGAGTCCTAAAGTCCTAAAGAAAAAGGACCGACCTGGGAGCAAGGACGCTACGATCGGGGCTCCTGGCATCGCCACTGGGAGCATCCTTACTACTAGTAACACGAAGCTACGAACGGAGCTCCTACCTAGAGGATGGGCCTCAGGGCCTTCAGTTGGGCCTTCTCTTCCTCTCAATCCACTAGCCCAACTGAATCCGTATCGCTTCCTCCATGGTAGAGATCGGAGATCCAGACCCTCCATAGCCGGTCCTCCGGACCCGAACTGCTGAAGGGGCCCGGAGACTGATGCGAACCATGCCACAGATTTGGATGATTCAGCCGCAGAGGCAGGAGTCCAAGAGATGGTTTACTGAAGAATGCACACCAAATGCCTTTCAGTGACCTGTTCTCCAGTTCGCAACACCTTTTCCAACCAGCCCCCATGAGATCGACCCATTTTCCACACGCGGACCGCGCGGCTGGACCGCGCGGCTCGCTCAGGATCACGCATTGTAACCGCAACGTCCTGAAAGACTCCATGGTAAGCTCTGCCAGCTTAGAGGACGTTTCGTATGCTCCGCTCGCGGGTGAAGTCAAGGGCGACCTGAACGTGAGCCGAGGAGATAGGGAGATCTGAATGACATGCTCTTTTTGGGGGACACCAATTGCCGGTTTCTTGGAAATCAAAGACTCCAAATTTAAGAGTAGGTGTTGTCACACGGTGTTGTCCTTTTTGGGGTGGGGGGTGGTCTTTGAGGGTCTCCCTATAAACAGCCATTCGTCCATTTGGGTATTTAAGGAAGCTGTGTCGGTCCGTTTTCGTACCGTATTTGGGCGCCAGAGCGCTGGTTGCACGCAGTATTCTTGGGCACCTTTCCTGCTTGGTTTGATGTCACGCCAAGACATGTTAAAACTAGTAACTAGCAAATCCCAAAGCCTTGCAACTGTACAACTCTGTGGAAGTATATAGAAATCAATAGCGAATATATAACATTATAAATGTATATGATCCAATCCCAAAGTATGAGCAGTTTCCTATTGCGTTTGAGATTCTTCCTACTTCGGGACAACCGATGATTTTTGTCGATGAACTTTGAAAGGATTCGAAGTGCTTGTTCCGTTTGAGGATGCTAGTGTTTGAAAGACATGGAAGAACACCCAAAACGAACACATTCACAAAACATGCCGGCTTATTGGAAGTGTCACAAGGCTCAAGGCCAACGTTTGCTTTGCTTGTTTGCAGCACCTACGTTTCTCCGGGATGCCAACGTTTTTGGCTACCAACTCCGTTTTGTGGTCTGCAGGCCAACTCCTTGTTTGCAAACTCCGGCGCTCAGGAGTGTAGCATCAAGACCTTTGCCATGCGACCGGCCATGGAGTGGGCACTGATCAATCTGCATGGTGACTCTTCCTTGGAGCCTTGCCTCAAAGGAATGAACGCTATGGGAGTCTTTTTCGGGAAAGTGGGCCAGGGTGGATGGTTGGCACTAGAAGGTGCGGGAAACACCAGATCAGGGGGAGCTTCCTTAGAGGGAGACACGTGCCAAGAAGACAAACGAGTTGGATTGAAAAGAGAACTTGCTGTCTTTTTTCACAAGCAGAAAGCACACAAACTGAGGAGGAACGCTCTTGAAGCTCAATATGCAGGCCCCATGCTCGGTAGTCCATCCACACTTGCAGGTTCTCCTTTCCAACCATGTCCGCTAGTTGGATCCATCTACCAAAGGTTTAATACATCGAATAAAGGGTAAATCAAGACACCACTACAACCTTAGTGAAGACATTCAGCCTGTTTAGAGACACAGGGAATCGGGCGGTTTCGAAACCACAGCGGAGATCACAGGACATCGGGCGGTTCAGATCCCAGCGGAGTTGTGTACTGGGTTGTTCCCCCAGCCCAGTATCAGAACAGATCAGAACACAAGCCTTTGGTCCTATTGATAAGATATTATATACCAGCACCTTCCAACAGGTGGTTTCTTGACACCCCTTAACCACTAAGAGGCTATGTATAGACACCTCTTGGAAGGTCCTGGTATATGCTACATTGTGGGCTGCATTCAGTTATGTGGTTCGGAACCGTCGCATGAATGAATGAAGCATGAAGCATGAAGCATGAGCAGGGACAATGGTACCACGCCGGAAGGTGCCATTCAGGAAGATGAGCTTACTGCCGACGTTTGGCATCGCCGTGTATTGCGATCAGCCCAAACCGGTGGGGTCCAAACCCCATGGGACGGACCTGATTGTTCTGAAGTTGTGCTTTAAAATCAATCATCGTATACACTTTGACTCACTGGACATGGAACATCGGCCCCCGTGGAGGACCATTTGTCCTCAATCAGGTCTTCCACTTCCAACGCACTCGGAGAGGCGAACCTCGCCACAGCTGCACGCTGCGTTCGTTCTTCCGCGTGTCCGGTGTTTCACTCGTCCGCGTTGCCTGAGGATGACATGTTCACCCTCCTTTACCGGCTCTTCACAGGCTGGCGCGAACGTCTCGGTCGCCGAAGCTCGTTACGACATGGTCGACTCGTCGGTCGACTCGTCGATGTGGCGGCAGAAAGAGGAACATACAACACCGAATTACAGGTTTCAGAGGTGCGATGGCAGGTCTGGGCCCCCGGTCCGTTGGGTGGTTTAGTAGTGGACCCCCATCTAGACATGTAGGGGTGCCAGTGCCATCTACTTTGAAACCACTGTAGTTCTATTTCTGTTGCCCTGGCAACTGTGTTTGCCGTGGAGCGAGTTTTCTTGGGTCTGTTGGGTGAAGCAATTATCGAAGATGGAACTGAGTGCAAGATGATGACGTTTCTGATAAAACAGTGATGCGGCAGATATGCTACAGATGCTAGAGTCTGTGGGAGTTTCTTTGTGGAAGAGAATGAAGCAGATAAACAACTAAATGAAGCAGATCGTTCGCATTCTGCCCGGCACGTTCGGGCATGGCATTCATTATCGACGTCCTGGAATGGTCGGATGCGCTTGTTTCTTGTTCCTAGTAGCTTCTTGTTACTACTAGTAAGGCACTTGTTACTAGTAGCGTGGCACTTGTTTCTAATAGCTTCTTGTTACTACTAGTAAGGCACTTGTTACTAGTAGCGATGCACTTGTTTCTACTGGCTTCTTGTTCCTAGTAGTAAGGCCCTTGCTCCTAGTAGCGATGTCCTTGTTACTAGTAGTAAAGAGGTTTTGACATGTTTCAACCACTATCACTGAGAGGACATGTTCAGGTCCTGGCCCGACTCTGCTCTGGGGCCCCCACTCGAGCCGTCCTTCGAGCGTTTTCCGGCTCGGGCGTCGTTCGGTCCCGCTGAGCGAGCTGTTCGTCACCTGAGCTGTTCATCTTCACCCATCTCCCCTACAGGTCAGGCACGGACCTCATAGTGGGCTGAAGTTCATCATGTTTTCTCAGTCACGCGACTCCATGAGCGGACAGGACAGGACATGATATGCAGTACCAGGTTTCGATTTGTGGACCTCTAGTTTTTTTGTGTGTGTTTGTTGTTAGTTGTTTGTTGTTGTTTGTTGATGTTTGTTGCATGTTTTTGTTTTTTTCTAGGTGCTGCATCCAACGTTCAACTCACCGATGGCAGGCCATACCAAGCTGAAGTTGGGCCCACCTGGCACTTCGGAGGCGTTCGGTTTGGGCGTGAACGCCGCTGTTTTCATCGTTTTTCCCTTCAAAAGACCATTGGAAAGCAGTAGGTTGGAATGGAAAAACCATCGTTTCTCGTTGGTTAGAATTCTGAAGCAGTAGGTTGGAGGCCATCGCTCTTAGGTTGGTGAGTTTGCCCAGTTATGGCCTTCACAAGTATGGCCGCGCTGGTTTCTTCTTCGACCAGTCCATCGGCTCTTCGACCAGTCCGCGCTGATGTTTCAGTGAAGACCGCCGGGTTTGGCCCATTTTGGCCCCAAACCTCGGTGGGTTTGTATAAGAAGATTGAAGTGTTACCCAGGGCATCCAGTTACCACCATAGTTGGTAACCAGTGGTTCCAGTTCGACTAAAACCACTTCGACCGGTTCCGAAGGGCCCCTGGTTCCTTATAGAGTTCGTGGGAACTGCCTGTGATGCACTGGGTTTGTATTGGATTGCGCCGTGGCAGGAAGACCAACGGCGCTGGGCACATACCTTCGCCACCTTGGTGGCCTATTTGAAGCGGGGGAAGCCCAGGCATACCGCCTACGTGGCGGTACGAGCGGTACGGCTGGTTCCATGGCCACCGGTTCCTGGTTCCTGGCCGAATACGCTGGTGATGGTTATAGAATATGTGGGCGTTCGGTCAGGGCTATATGGCGGGCACCACCGTACCTGACCCAGATAGAGTTCCAGAAAGAACACATGAAGAGATGCCAAACAAATCAGAATAAATGCCAGAAAGAATGTCAGATTTTTTGCCAGAATTGCAGAGTTTGTATGCCAGACAGAACGCCAGAGTATATGCGATAGAATGCAAGACCATACGCCGGATACAATGCCAGGATGTATATGCCAGATAGAATTAGAATGCAATAATATTTTGATACCTATGGCAATTAGCCCTATGAAATGGGGGGGGTCAACCCCCCGTATAAAACGTTTTATGGACATTCCAGGGGGGTTGGCCGCCCTCATTTTATAGATATTTTGCCTGTTGCATCGTGATGCGTACAAAAATGAAACGGAATTGGACAGGTCACGTGTGTCTGAGATTTCAGACCATGTCTTTTTCGCTCAATCACCCGTTTCTGACAGATGTAGAATATATGTATCCCTCCTCATTTCATAGTAGATTTCAAGGACATGATGACATGTAGCGCATGTTGGCCCCCCCCCATTTTATACAGGAGGTGTTTTCCTCAAACCCTCTCAAATTATAGACGAGAGGGGGTTGGACAGCCCATTTTATGTCTATAAAATGGGGTGCAAGACCCCCACCCGTAATTGCCACATGTATATATTTTGAATAGAATGTATAGAACGCCAATTTTCATGCCAGCTAGAATGGCAGAGTACATAGGCCAGAATATATTCCTGATAGAATGGAAGATTACATGCTGGATATAATGCCAGGATCCCTGCCAGATAGAATGCCAGAGTAGATTCCTGATAGAATGGACGGCTTTATGCATGATAACATGCCAGGATTCCCGCCAGATAGAATGCCAGAGTATATTCCAGATAGAATGCAAGAATGTATGCCGGATAGACTTCATTTTTTTTGCCAGATAGAATGCCAGGACATATGCGAGATACAATGTCCGAAAATATGCCAGAAGAAACGCCCGATGGAATGCAAGAACGTTTGCCAGATAGAATGCCATAATTTATACCAGATAGAAAACATTGGAACACCATAACACATGTGCCAGATAGGACACCAAAAATTCTGCTAGATAGAATGTGAACATATTTGCCACAAAGAACGTTAGAACATGTGCCAGTTAGAATGTGACTGTTTTTGCCACAAAAAAGAAACATGTCAGAAAATATGCCAGATAGAATGTCAGATCATATGCCAGAACGAATGTCAGTAATTTTTACATTTAGAATGCCAGAAATATTCAAGACTGCCAGATTCTTTTTGCCAGATAGAATTTTTGCCAGAAAATATGTTTGAGTCAGGTGTTGGGGGTTGGAATACTAAGCCGCTTCCAGTTGAGCGGCTTCCAGTTTTGGAACAGACTCGGTTGGCGAGATGCCAATGGGACTTTTCGGAGATGAGACGTATTTCCTGGAGTCAAAGAAAGCATCAAAGGTTGGTGGTTAGACCAGTTTTGCCCAGAAAGCGGAAGGCTGATGGGAGCGGAGTCTAAACCATGCGACGATGACAAGGCTACGTGGTGTTTGTGGGACAAGAAGTTCGATTCGATGCTCTGCAAGGTGAATTTTTCAGGTGCCGAAGCAATCTGTTTGTTGAGTTTCTCCAAAGGCCTGATGGACACCAGAAAATATGCCAGAAAGCATGTCAGAATCTCCAGATAGAATCCCACAATATATGCCAGATAGAGGGCCATAATATGCCAGCTAGAATGCCAGCTAGAATCTGCTCAGATAGGCGCTTTCTGAAGGGGATGTTGAGGCAGTATCGCCGTCGGTGATCAACATGATTATAGTTCCATGGTGGGGATCACACGATCTACAGTACCCAGTGCATCCCAGGCAAACCACGAACTCTATAAGGAACCAGGGATTCGGAACCGGTCTATGGTTTTAGTCTTTGGAACCATTGGTTACCAGCTATAGTGGTAACTGGATGCCCTGGGGTATTTTTTCCTGGTTCTTGAACAGCAAATCCAAGGGATCGGTGCCAGAAATAGCAGCTGGATACCACTGGTGTGGAACGGGCAGATGATTCCATAGCTTGCCAGAAGACTCTCCAGCAGCGGGGGTTCACCTGAGTTTGTGGGGTGTTGATCCTTATGAGGGGTCGAGCAGGCGAGGCCGAATGGAATGGACAGGATTAAGTTTGCCAGATGGTAGGCTTGTTAGAATTCTGTTCAGCGATAGAGCCCTCAATGTCAGGATTTGACCTATCTCTTTCAAGCACGTTTTTTTGTTTCAGTCTCCTAGTCCGACCAAAAAAAGTCGAAGATCCAACAGCATGGGCGGTAACGAAACAGAAATCACAGGTCCGGGCATGAAAAAAGTGGGGCATGGAACATCATGACACTCAATGGAATCAGTTTTGAGTTCAATGAAATTCACCCAAATTCTCATTGGACCCTCAGTTCGCAGTCTGGGTTTTGACCCTCTAGGGTTTGGAACCATCATGTAGCAGTTGGTTCGGGACTCACCATGGAATCCGAAGATCACAAGCTTAGAAGATGATTGTGGTCGAATTCCGTGAGTCAAGTATATATGGATGGGCAGGGATAGTTTTGTATTTTTCTGCTTGAACACGAGTTGGATCCTTAAGAGACTTTAAGTATAACTTAAATGTTAAGAACCATTTTGAAGCTAGGGTTCAAGCAGGTCTAAAGACCAATCTAGAGTGCTTGCCTTTCCCAGTTTCATACTAGTTATCAGTATGCAAAAAGACCAAAGGAAGCAGGCAGCAACCTCAACCTCTATCTTTGTATGCCAGACTGGAACGTCGGGTGGGCAGCTGGAGCAGTCCCTTTCGCCTAAGGCCGGAGAGCATGGAGCATGGCTTTTTGGCGCGGGAGCTCAGCATGGCTTTTTGGGCGTTTTGGACGTGTCCAGCTGTTCGTGGTTTTTTTCCACCGTAGGGTTTCAACACCCTAACCCCTAGAGGTCCTAGAGGGTTTTTTCCGATGGGCGTTCGTGTCTTTTTTGGGGACCAGGTGATCCAGTGGATGGCAAGATATACCTAAATGAGCTTCACTAAATATACATGGCATTGATGCTTAAGTTGCTATACTCCGGGAGTTCGTTCAGTTTGCCTTTTTTTTTCCAGGTCGTTTCCGGCTCATGAGACGGAAGGACGCTGAGCGTTCCGTCTCATGACGCCGGCATCCCAAACGAACCGGACGGTGCGTGACGCCCGAAGTTCTGAGCGGAGAAATCAAACGAAAATCCATGAGGGTGTTCAGGGTGCTGTGATCTTAAACTTGGTGATGGTTTACTTGCTTCTTCCAAGTGACCAAGACTTGATCCTTTGATTGAAGGTCACGAAAAGGCCTGGAAAACAGGTCACTGGCTGGCACTCTAAAGTTCGGTCAACAACTGCTGGAGTTATCTTTTTTCTGGCTTCTCTTTGTTCTTCAAGTTTACCAATTGACTTATCCTTTTTGAGTTGGTGCGGTGTCAATCGATGCCTATCCGACCTACGGTGTCGGGATTGTTACATTTTGTTCGGTCTGCGAGCTGAGAGCTATTCATTCGGTTTGTGGTTTGGATGCTCGAGCTTGTTTTCCTCGGTCCTCGGACGGAGCAATGCGCAGAACCAGGAACCCTCATTTGGCACAGTCAATTACCACTGTGGTTCGCTCAGTTCGCTCTTTGGTACAGCAGTTTTGATGTGACAGTGGCAGATGCGGCGAGCCGCCGATCGGCCGCTCGCCCAAGACAGACCTGGCACCGAACCACGAGACAGACCTGGCAACGCCACTCTGCTGCTGCATTGCGGACCGCTTTGAGCGGTAGACCAATTGACTTCTCCCAGACACGACTAATGGGACTGCCATATGTATACATACATTGACCCCGACTTCAACCACCCCAATTGATCGGCAGTCCGGACTGGCAGTCCCAGACAGGTCGTGTCTGGGACTGAACACCCACACGCGCCCCACCTTTGAAAACGCGTGGCCGAACCGCGCGTCCGTGCGCCGCCGTACCAGGCCAGCTTCGTCAACGTCTTTGCCCATAACTTCGACGAAGTCTGGAGCGAGGGCGGCAGTGCCTTGCCCAAGCCACCCGGGAACGAAGTGGGAAGGACTGGACGTGGTGAGGTGGGCGGGCTGAGGCGACCGGGGCTGAGAGAGCAGAGGAAAAGAGAAGCAAGCAATAGCGCAAGACATAAGCAATATGTCGTAGTCACCACAGAAAACAGCCCTGAAGAGTTTGTATGTCTTTGCTGAGTGTAGGTTAAGTTCATCATTCAAGACTAATTGAGACCAACATTGCAGGAAAGCCAGAAGGCTGGAAGGCTTCCAATATCTTCCAATACTCAGAAGTAGAAGGCTGATATCAGCAATATCAATATCTTCACTTATCCAGGATTATATCCAATATGCTCCATCACTTCCAATATCTTCCAATACTCAAAAGTAGATGGAGGCGCACTTGGAGAGAAAGATACTCAGTCAGTGGATTGCCTGCAATCTCGACTCTGGACGGATTTGGGGGTTCACTGAGGTGCAAACAGGTGCAACAGGTTTGGTTCACCTTTATTGTCCAGCGAAACTGAGGGGGTCGGAGAACTCTAGCACTTCCTTGTAGGGTTTATGGGGTCGTTGATGGATCAAGTGATCAATGAATTTGAATATGTCCAGCTTCCTCACTCGAGAGGGTGGTCTCCTCTTCAGTTTTGGGATGTGAGCCATTGATACTGTAGGTCCCGTTGAGTATCGACCTGCATGTTCATGAACAACTCATGGACAGAACATGACTGAACGCATAGGACTGCACACATGTGGAATCCATGAGTTCTTCCTCTTGCTCAAGAGTCTGGTTCTCTAGAGAATGAAAACACCTTGCCCCAAACAACTTCCCGACCGCATCTTCGGTGGGCGGTCCCGGTCGGCCGGAGAGACCGGAGACGGTTTCCGGTCGTCGGCCAGACCGGAGCAAGCTCCGTCCGGGTCCAGGAGCCAATCGCGCGAGTTGGTGAACGAACGCTTTCTGACGGAACTGAGAAGCTGGATTCTGGAACACAAGGAGAGCGGGAGCACGGACTGACTGAGCACGGGCGACCGGGACTGAGCCATGGCGTTCCTCGGAGATTCGAGGAAAAAGAACACAGTCATTGCGTGATGCAGTTGTGATCTCCGGGGTTTTATTTGAAACAGTAGTTGTAGGAGTCGTTCAAGAATGTGGCAGTACCACGGCTAGTAGCTGCTGGCTTGGTTGAAAACTGACGTCGTGGCGGTCTAAAGGAGCGAATCTCCCGAAAACTAACATGGACCCTGACGTCCTGGCCCCCTGGAAGAGTGTTTTCCTCATTTTCCTCTACCAACCAGTGGTTTTCAGGGTCCATGGGATCGTCTTCCAGGGTGTACTCCTGCCAGCAGTCCTGATGGACGTTGATGAAACGGAGGTCGTTGCCAGGGCTGGATTCATCAGATCCAGACTGAACCCTCGAGCATTTGAGATCCAGACTGCCCTCACGTATAAGCATTCACCCACCATTCACTCACCTAGTAGAGCAGAGCTACATAGAGTTACTTTAGCATGGTTGCAGGCCATCGCTAGTAGGTTGGAGGCCATCACTATAGTCAAGACATGTCAAGACCCACCTCACGGAGGGAAATGGTTGAAGTAACAAGTTCCGGGTGGTCATGAACCTGTAACGTCGGGGTCAATGTGACCACTCAGGGGCTTGGGTCCCTCTATTCTGCATTTACTCTGGCCCCCTCCCCCTCCCACCCGTGATGCATGGTTTGCAACCCTGAAGCATCGCCAGGAGCGTTTAGTCTGGCCCACTGGAGGCGATGATGAGGAGCGGCGAAGTCGATGTCCTGGCTCTTGCTTTTTGAGTGTAGACTGTTCCACCATCTTCTAAATTTAAAGAAAAGTATTGTAAAAACAACAAAATCATGTATACGAACATGTATACGGTGACGTCATCGGAAGGCATGTCCGTATGTTCTTCCACCAGTAACTCTTTCTGACAGACTTTCGCTCGTCCTCTTGGACTGGGGCTGCGGGCTGAACCGCCTTCTGCAGTTTCTCACGCCCTTCGGCCCGGCCCGCGATGGCCGTGATGGCCGGTCCCATGGGGATCAAAGTACCTCACCCTAGGGATCCAAGTACCTTCTCAGAAGGTACTTGGACCCTCCAAACCTACATAACAGTGCCTCTAATCACCTTCTGAGAAGGTACTTGGATCCCTAGGGTCAGGAGCTACGACTGGACCCGACAATGGTACCGTCACATCACAGTGTCGAACACATCTTCTGAGAAGATGCGACTGGATCCTTAGACTTAGGGGTTCTAGACATGCTCTAAAGAACCTGCAGTCTTGAAAGCACTGGGTTACCGGAGCTGGCAAGAAGATCCTATGAAGCTTCATGTCCAAATTTAGGAATTTTATGTATAAACATATTTTTGGAGGCTATTATATGATGGCAGGCATTCCCGGCATTCCAGGAAGTCACCTCACCTAATCAGATCTGTTTTCCAGATCTTCTTGGCCTGCAGGAGGACGAAGGCAATGAGAATGAAGAGGACCATACGGGATGATGTTGACCTTCCAAAACACAGACACGCCAACGATACGATCATCATTCCAGCGCACAAGAGAGGCCATCGCTATCCAAAACAAGCCTTTCAGCAAGACTGGGAGCCCCAATTTGTTTAAACGCATGAACAGAAGCAGTTGCTAATCAGGATGGAGAAGCCAAAAAAGGTTGAACAAAGCATTACTCATCATTACTCCTTCCTCCAGGAAGATGTTGTTTCAACAACGGAGTTTGACGCCCTTAAAGCCGGCTTCTTCCACTTCTGACTGGAAGCTCCTTTGGCTGGACCTCAAAAAAAGCTGGAGGATGATGATGATGAGGAAGAAGAGGAAGAAGGAGAGGAGAATGAAGAGGTGCAACCATGGTGCAACCATGTGTCCCTGCCTCCCTTCACCCTGCTTTTTTTGTTTTACTTAGAGCTCTCATTTTACACCTTGATACTAAGAAGTTGTTGCTGTGTTTTGCTTTGAGCATCTCCAGTTTTTGGAGTTTTGTTTTTGAAATATGTTGAGGTTATAGAGCAACAAAGAGCTAGCACAATTGCTGCACGTATTGTATCAATAGACGATCAATAGACGTGCTGATCATTGGCGTGCTATAGACTCTGTTTGCTTTGCCCAGAGTTCGAGACAAAATAGGTTGAACAAACATAAACACGGACGCCAGTGATCGACCCTAAAGCTCCAGGCGTCGTACCGAGTCGTAGCTCCTCAAAAGGTGGACCTGACACCCCCAGTCCCACCGAAACGAGGGTACGGAGCACTAGGGCGCAGCTGTGCAACATGCGATGTGAAGAATCTTCCCGATGAAACCGGTCCAAAAGACAAACATACATCTTCTAGGGAGCGTTTGGTGTGTGCAGCAGGCTGAAGAAGAAAAAGAGGCCCAAGAAGGGGAGCAGCCTGAAGAGGACAAAGAGGCTGGAAGGGGAGAAACCAGGGCGGTCTGTTCTTTATCTATCTCATTATGGTGACTGTTCCTCTTTTAGATATCTTCTTTGTTAACTGGGCACCCCACTCAGAGCTTCAACAACCTGAAATCAGGAAGACGTTTTGGTCCACCGGCGTTCTTCAGTGCCAAGTTCGATCCATCCCGATCCAAACCGGCTTCCAATGGCCTTTCATTGACCATTGATTCACTGATTTTAACACAAGCATTGTTTTCCACGGTCCAAGGGACAACGAACGGAGCAAGAGACGTGTCCTTCGATATATGGCCATGGGTCAAAACTCAAAACCTATGGGTATACCATGAATTCTTGTACCAGATTGAAGTGGATGAACATTGCGTTCAGGTCGTTTGTTTCGGTTCAGTCCTTCCATCGTTTTTGACCCGAGTTGTCTCGTGGTCGGTCCCAGACCGAGGTCGACCCCTGGAACATCGACCAAGAGACCAGCTGGGCTTAAACAAGCGTATTTGAATCGAAGCAGTGACTTTCAACTATCCATTGGATAGAGAACAACATCTCAGATTGGTTACTGGCTAGATTGATAGATGCAAGAGTTGCCCTCTATAATACTATATCTATCAATCCAACATCTTAGGTGGATCGCTTAACCCCTTAGACGCAGCTTTGGCTGTGTACGAACTGTGTTGCAGCATCTGTGATGCAGACGGAGACTTGTGTTGGGGACATAGAGTCGGTACCTGCAGCAAGGCATCCAATGGTGATAGTAGTAAAGCTATCCCGCATAGTAATTAAGCCGGCTTCACGGTGCACTGTCAGGTTTAAATGGTGAAATTTGCAGGTTTTCTGGAGCAGGAGATTGCCAGCAGAATGCACAGCAGAAGCTCTTTGTGATCTTCCAATTGTAGAATTTGAGAGTGTTCCATGGCCAGTCATAGTCAGTCAATTGTTCTGCTCAGTATCGACGTGGTGATGGGTCAATCACGTATACATTGTATGTTGAATTCATGGAGCCTCAAATGGTCAGGAGATGTTTGGACTTTGCCCTCGATCACCCGCTCGTTCCCGTTCCGACGTTGCAAGGAGAAAGAGGATGAAGGCCACCGGCACAGCGGCCGGATTCCGGGGAAGAGACGGTTACGAGACGGGCCCCGGGTGAGGATGGGACACGGTCTTTTGAGTGGCAACGCTTTGAAACGATTGGGGCCCAAAAAACAGGCACACCAGAATCTCTTTGGAAGTGACCTCTTTGGAGATATGTTTTGGTGTTTGACCTCCAAAAACAGGCGGCACATGTTGACAGTATGACTCAGTATGACTCAGTATGACCATACGACCTTGGTTTTTTCAAAAAGCAGCAGCTCAGGTCCGGTCCGGTCGATCTCAGGTCCGGTCCGCTTCGAGTCGAGTCGATCATTCCCTCACTTCACATCGATTCACCTCGAGTCCGTTCGCTTCGAAGATGCCTGGCCTACCAGCGGCCCTACCTCGCTGGTAGCAAGGGGAGGAAAGGATGTGGCCTCCCCCAGCTGCTACAGATCTTGCTGCAATTCCACAGCTGCTCAACGTGAGCAAGAGAGGGCACCTTTTTAAACTGTTCGATTCTGTTGGGACAAGCAATGATGCAAATCAATGTGGACATGTGGTACTTGTGCAATTACCAGCCAGAGTAAGTCTTCCTGAACCAGCTTGGTGGTCCACGATTTCAGAAGCAATTCTTCCTGAAACGTCCCCTACTTCAAAGGTGATGACAACTATTCCCAGCTCCATATCAGGGGACGGACTCTCCATTGGTCCATAGGGGTTTGGACCCTCACAACTCTTTCCACTTGAAGGGTTGGATTCTGAGATTTCAAGTGTCAAGTGCCGAAGCTCGGCTTGACTCCACGTGATGGGACCGTGCCTTGATGGGGAACATATCAAACGTCCCGAAGAACAAAATCACTTGGACCTTTCCTCAGAATTGGCTGATGATGTGTTTGATAAGTCCTCAGACGCGGCCAATTCCGCGGAGAGGTAGCCCAACTGATCAGCAGTTTTTGCGGAAATCACCCCTTATGAGGAAACTTAAGATGTGGGCTGGCCTGGTTTGCGACTCTTTTGCGAAGATCCCAGACTCGACCTCAAACAGCACCCACTTGACATGTCTCGACACTTACACTCTCTGGAATGATCGTGGAAGCGGATGGCATGGTGGCATGATATGGCATGATCCCTTGGAAGTCCAAAATAGGTTACTTTTCCATTTGCTAGGGATCCAAGTACCTTCTCAGAAGGTGATTAGAGGCACTGTTATGTAGGTTTGGAGGGTCCAGTCGTACCTTCTGAGGTTCGGTACGACTGGATCCCTAGGGCATCGGCATTGGTGAAGGCGAAGAGGAAAGCACCGAGACCTTCAAAGCAAAGGCTCTCGGGCTAAGCGAGGCGTTCAACGATGCGCGTCGGTGTCGAGGTGCGATAGGTGACCAGCTGGTCAATTCTCCTTGACCCCCCGCAAGGAGCACGTGTCCGACTACCAACAGATGGCTTATTCACAATCAAATGGTTCATGTTGAACATAAATCAGGATCCAGATGATTTCTTGAGCCCAA